GCRGGAGCCGGGCCTGTTCGGTCTGGAGAAGAGAAGACTGAGAGGGGAACTCATCGATGCATATAAATGTCTCAAAGGCAGGTGCCAAGAGGATGGTGCCAGGTTTTTTTCAGTGGTGACCAGCGACGGGATGAGAAGCAATGGCCATAAACTAAAACACAAGAAATTCCACTTAAGCATGAGTCGCAGAATCACAGAATAGGTCAGGTTTGAAGGGACCACAGTGGATTGTCTGGTCCAGCCTGCCCCTCAGGCAGGGTCATCCCAGAGCACAGCGCACAGGATTGTGTCCAGATGGTTCTTGAACATCTCCAGTAAGGGAGACTCCACACCCTCTCTGGGCAATCTGTTCAGTGTGTGTTCATCTACACAGTACAGAAATTCTTCCTCATGCTTAGGTAGAACTTCCATGTATCAATTTCGGCCCATTGCCTGTTGTCATTGCCCGACATCACCAAGCTGCGCCTTGATCCATCATCTTGCACCCTCCCTTCAGATATTTATACACATCAATGATGTCCCATCTCAGGTGCCTCATCTTGAGACTGAACAGGCCTCAGCCTTTCCTCATAAGAGATGGTCCAGACCCATGACCTTCTCTGATGAGGAAAAGCTTTATGCTGAGGGTAGCAGAGCACTGAACAGGCTGCCATGGGGGATTGTGGAGTCTGTCTCCTTGAAGAGATTCAAAACCCACCTGGACAGGTTCCTGTGTCACATGGTCTGGGTGACACTGCCTTGTCAGGGCAGTTGGACTGGATGATCTCCAGAGGTCTGTTCCAACCCTAACCATTCTGTGATTCAATGTGGCCCCTCAGAGGACACCAGCACAGCCCCTTCCCAACAGCTTTCTCCAGGGCCTGGAGTTGCTCCAGCCAAAATCTGTGGGGCTGCACCCTCAGCCCTGCACCTCCCTATCCTGCCTGAGCTTCCACAGTTCTTGCTATGTGCCACATAATGCTCATTTTCGAAGTCTGCTTTGAGGCTACTCTTTGTTAGTTTGCCATTGAATACTTTGAGCTAGGAGCTTGAGGAGCTTGGTCTCCTTTCCCATGCCTCAGTGGTGGCCTGAGGCTGGCAAGAGCTCCCTTACTCTGGCAGCAGCTCTTCTATCCCCACRATAGAAGAGCTGATTTTCCCCAAGGACACTTCCCTCAGCTTTTCCTATTGCCCTCTACCCTGCTCTGGGTGATAAGGCTCTGCTACCACCCTCTGCMACAGGGACACGCAGCTGGCCAGGGTTTTGCTGACTCAGACACACTTGGCCCGTTGTATCTCTCCAGGCTCTGCCAGCCTTGCTCCATCCCCTTCCAAGGGGGAACACCCAATGGCACCAGAGCCATTAGCTCTGGCTACACCAAAGCCYGTTTTCAGTGCCAAGCCTCTGGCAGGGAGGCATTGCCTGCCAGGGAAGCTCAGCCTGCACTTCTCACTGTCCTGGGACATCCCACAGCACCTGCACTGGGCACCCAAACAAGAGTTTACACTTTGAGTTGCAGTCACCTGTATTTGTCATTTCCATGTGTCCTCGTGGCAGAGCCGCTCCTGAAATATCTGTCTGTGCATATTTCCAACACATAACCCCAGAAGAGTTATGGAAGCCAACAAAAATGACTTAAAGTGTGAAATGGCTTTTCTGTGAAGGAAAATGAAATAGGCAAAAACCTTTCAGTCTAGRAAAGAGGTGGAGGGGTGTAAGTCAGAGGTCTGCAAAAATCTGCACTGGGAGGTGGGTGGGGAGAAGCCATGTCCCAGCTCTTCCACTGTGTCCMACAACCCAGGGACGTAGAATGAAATTAGCTGGCAGCTACTCTAAAACACAAAAAGATATGTTTTTTTCATAGAGTGCATTATCAAACTSTGGATTACAGAGCACAATGGCATGCAGGACGTGAACTTGCCCTGATTAGATAAGGGCCAGCAAACAGAGATGTGACTGCTGTCCAGGGAGCCCCAGAGCCACAGAGAGATAGCACCAAAGAGGTTATATCAAAGAAGCATTAATCCCCCATWGCCAGGAGCAAAGTCCTGAGTTGGAGGGATCCAGTACAGCCATTTTCCCATTTTTGTTTCTGTGTTCGGTGTGTGCGATTAAGCAAACACATCAGTTTTCCTTCCATGTGTGTTTACCACTTACATATGTTTTCTCTGCCTTTGCTTCCTTACCCAAAGAACTCTCCCACCTGCAGGGGGTCACACACACCTCTGCYACAAGAGATCCAGCCCTCTGGGAGACACTGGAATCTGCCTTCTTCACACTGCTGGGAAGCATTTCCCTCTCACACAGCTGCTGTGGTGAGGCTGGGTGGTGAAACACCTCTGCAGAGCTATAGTTTCATGGGCTGTGCTGGACGAGACYGTGTCTGTCATGGGCTGTGTCTGTCCCACTGCTGTGTGTGCACAGCTCAGAGTACGGCTTTTCCCTGCGACTCACAAGCCCAGGCAGATTGCAGCTCGGGAGAAAAGTTGTTTAATGAGCTTCCTCAGCAGACAGATGCTGTGCAGAGAGTACCACAGAGCTTTAAGGAGTCCTCCTGCTGTCTCACACACAAGACTTGATTTTTGAAGTAACTAGGAGGTATGGAATGGTCCTGGGTAATTTTAATCCCTAATACAACCTATCGTTGTTTCATTGGTGTACAATTCGTAGCTACGGGACTGTTTCTCTTCAGGTTTTTGCTTTTTTTCTGGCCTTATAAGTTCTCCCTGATGCCATGTGTCTGTGTGTACCAACAGTTACTCAGATGTCAAGGTTTCCTGATGCTGAGCATATCACAGGCACTGCTCTGCTTTTGGTTTGTGCCCACTTCCAGCTTGCCACCTCATTTCACRTCTGACATGCCAGTGTTCAGCTTGTCTCCAGACACAGAGTAACATCCTTGTTCTGCAGGACAGCAGCGCTCACTGTGATTTASTGACTCTGACCCCTTGTGCTCGTTYAGCTACACAGTCCCAGCAGTCACACCAGCGAGTGGCACAGGTTTCACCTGTTTCATGCAGTCTCCTGCTGGGTGTATAGAAAGATGTCAGAACATCTCGACCCATTGAGAGGCAAAGGCATTTGATCCCAGGGTCTTTCCCCATGGATGTCAGCAGTCCTTTCAGGGTACCTTGTAGTTCGTGCGCTGGAGAAGACTGTGACACTCCTAACTCAGCTGTTAGGCTRCATACGAATGGCAGTGCTAAGACAGCACGACTGTGGAAGCCAGGATAGGCTGCACTCCGCTTTTCCATGACAAAGAGAACCACTGAAGCCTCTGTCATCAGTAATAAGCATCAGAGCAAAGTCATCAAAACAATGCACACAATTAAGCAGAGCTGGAAACTCTCAGTTCTATGATCAGTTACTCCCAGCAGTAAACCCCTGATTTAGGATACTGTAATGCAAAGTAGAAGATATTGAGGAAATGGTAAAACACACTTGTRTGTGAGGAGTATGTTAGATACCTTGGAAAAAAACAGACCAAGGAGAGGATTTCTGCATCGGCAATGTGAKCCAGGCAGCCCAGGTCAGCCTGTGGTTAGGCTCTCTGCCTGGGATGCTCTGCCATCAAAACATGAGCTGCTTGGATGATCTAAGTGGGCAGCTCATGCTGCAGCTGCACACTGAGCTACCTGCACTGAAGGCATTGCTCAACCACAGCAACAGCTCTTTGGGAAGTCACAGCTCTCTCCAATGCTAGMCCTGGCTTGTTCACCCTCCCTCCTCATTTGCTGAAACTCCCTCATGCTGTCCTCTGGTCACCYGTGAGGGCAAACCGGGATAAGTCGAGTAGAGGAACTGGGTATCAGTGCAGATCTCTATGGCACAAAGACGTACGGCAGGGGACAGGATCCAAATATTTGCTCATTTCGCCATGTTTCTCACACTTGGATCACAGTTATTTTAAGTTGTTTTTCCACCTCACAGGTGTATTTTGTGCTGCTGCTCCCAGAAATCAAACACTTTT